GTTGTCAGTGTGATGGGCTGGTTGTCAGTGTGATGGGCTGGTTGTCAGTGTGATGTGTCCGTTGTCAGTGTGATGGGCTGGTTGTAAGTGTGATGTGTCCGTTGTAAGTGTGATGGGCTGGTTGTCAGTGTGATGTGTCCGTTGTCAGTGTGATGTGTCCGTTGTAAGTGTGATGGGCTGGTTGTCAGTGTGATGGGCTGGTTGTCAGTGTGATGGGCTGGTTGTCAGTGTGATGTGTCCGTTGTAAGTGTGATGGGCTGGTTGTCAGTGTGATGTGTCCGTTGTCAGTGTGATGTGTCCGTTGTAAGTGTGATGGGCTGGTTGTAAGTGTGATGGGCTGGTTGTCAGTGTGATGGGCTGGTTGTAAGTGTGATGGGCTGGTTGTCAGTGTGATGGGCTGGTTGTCAGTGTGATGGGCTGGTTGTCAGTGTGATGTGTCCGTTGTCAGTGTGATGGGCTGGTTGTCAGTGTGATGTGTCCGTTGTAAGTGTGATGGGCTGGTTGTCAGTGTGATGGGCTGGTTGTCAGTGTGATGTGTCCGTTATCAGTGTGATGGGCTGGTTGTAAGTGTGATGTGTCCGTTGTCAGTGAGATGGGCTGTTGTCAGTGTGATGGGCTGGTTGTCAGTGTGATGGGCTGGTTGTCAGTGTGATGGGCTGGTTGTCAGTGTGATGTGTCCGTTGTAAGTGTGATGGGCTGGTTGTCAGTGTGATGGACTGGTTGTCAGTGTGATGGGCTGGTTGTCAGTGTGATGTGTCCGTTGTAAGTGTGATGGGCTGGTTGTCAGTGTGATGGGCTGGTTGTCAGTGTGATGTGTCCGTTGTCAGTGTGATGGGCTGGTTGTCAGTGTGATGGGCTGGTTGTCAGTGTGATGTGTCCGTTGTCAGTGTGATGTGTCCGTTGTCAGTGTGATGGGCTGGTTGTCAAAGTGATGGGCTGGTTGTCAGTGTGATGTGTCCGTTGTCAGTGTGATGTGTCCGTTGTAAGTGTGATGTGTCCGTTGTCAGTGTGATGGGCTGGTTGTCAGTGTGATGTGTCCGTTGTCAGTGTGATGTGTCCGTTGTAAGTGTGATGGGCTGGTTGTCAGTGTGATGGGCTGGTTGTCAGTGTGATGAGCTGGTTGTCAGTGTGATGGGCTGGTTGTCAGTGTGATGGGCTGGTTGTCAGTGTGATGGGCTGGTTGTCAGTGTGATGTGTCCGTTGTCAGTGTGATGGGCTGGTTGTCAGTGTGATGGGCTGGTTGTCAGTGTGATGGGCTGGTTGTCAGTGTGATGGGCTGGTTGTCAGTGTGATGGGCTGGTTGTCAGTGTGATGTGTCCGTTGTCAGTGTGATGGGCTGGTTGTCAGTGTGATGGGCTGGTTGTCAGTGTGATGGGCTGGTTGTCAGTGTGATGGGCTGGTTGTCAGTGAGATGGGCTGGTTGTAAGTGTGATGGGCTGGTTGTCAGTGTGATGTGTCCGTTGTAAGTGTGATGGGCTGGTTGTAAGTGTGATGGGCTGGTTGTCAGTATGATGTGTCCGTTGTCAGTGTGATGTGTCCGTTGTAAGTGTGATGGGCTGGTTGTCAGTGTGATGGGCTGGTTGTCAGTGTGATGTTTCCGTTGTCAGTGTGATGGGCTGGTTGTCAGTGTGATGTGTCAGTAGTCAGTGTGGTGGGCTGGTTGTCAGTGTGATGGGCTGGTTGTCAGTGTGATGTGTCCGTTGTCAGTGTGATGTGTCCGTTGTAAGTGTGATGGGCTGGTTGTCAGTGTGATGGGCTGGTTGTCAGTGTGATGTGTCCGTTGTCAGTGTGATGTGTCCGTTGTAAGTGTGATGGGCTGGTTGTCAGTGTGATGGGCTGGTTGTCAGTGTGATGTGTCCGTTGTCAGTGTGATGGGCTGGTTGTCAGTGTGATGGGCTGGTTGTCAGTGTGATGGGCTGGTTGTCAGTGTGATGGGCTGGTTGTCAGTGTGATGTGTCCGTTGTAAGTGTGATGGGCTGGTTGTCAGTGTGATGGGCTGGTTGTAAGTGTGATGTGTCCGTTGTCAGTGTGATGGGCTGGTTGTCAGTGTGATGGGCTGGTTGTCAGTGTGATGTGTCCGTTGTAAGTGTGATGTGTCCGTTGTCAGTGTGATGGGCTGGTTGTCAGTGTGATGTGTCCGTTGTAAGTGTGATGGGCTGGTTGTCAGTGTGATGGGCTGGTTGTCAGTGTGATGTTTCCGTTGTCAGTGTGATGTGTCCGTTGTAAGTGTGATGTGTCCGTTGTCAGTGTGATGGGCTGGTTGTAAGTGTGATGGGCTGGTTGTAAGTGTGATGGGCTGGTTGTAAGTGTGATGGGCTGGTTGTAAGTGTGATGTGTCCGTTGTCAGTGAGATGGGCTGGTTGTCAGTGTGATGGGCTGGTTGTCAGTGTGATGGGCTGGTTGTCAGTGAGATGGGCTGGTTGTCAGTGAGATGTGTCCGTTGTCAGTGTGATGGGCTGGTTGTCAGTGTGATGGGCTGGTAGTCAGTGTGATGTGTCCGTTGTCAGTGTGATGTGTCCGTTGTAAGTGAGATGGGCTGGTAGTCAGTGTGATGTGTCCGTTGTCAGTGTGATGGGCTGGTTGTCAGTGTGATGGGCTGGTTGTCAGTGTGATGTTTCCGTTGTCAGTATGATGTGTCCGTTGTCAGTGTGATGGGCTGGTAGTCAGTGTGATGTTTCCGTTGTCAGTGTGATGTGTCCGTTGTAAGTGTGATGGGCTGGTTGTCAGTGTGATGGGCTGGTTGTCAGTGTGGTGGGCTGGTTGTCAGTGTGATGGGCTGCTTGTCAGTGTGATGGGCGGGTTGTCAGTGTGATGGGCTGGTTGTCAGTGTGATGGGCTGGTTGTCAGTGTGATGGGCTGGTTGTAAGTGTGATGGGCTGGTTGTAAGTGTGATGGGCAGGTTGTAAGTGTGATGTGTCCGTTGTCAGTGAGATGGGCTGGTTGTCAGTGTGATGGGCTGGTTGTCAGTGTGATGGGCTGGTTGTCAGTGTGATGTGTCCGTTGTCAGTGTGATGGGCTGGTTGTAAGTGTGATGGGCTGGTTGTAAGTGTGATGGGCTGGTTGTAAGTGTGATGGGCTGGTTGTAAGTGTGATGTGTCCGTTGTAAGTGTGATGGGCTGGTTGTCAGTGTGATGGGCTGGTTGTCAGTGTGATGGGCGGGTTGTAAGTGTGACGGGCTGGTTGTAAGTGTGATGTGTCCGTTGTCAGTGAGATGGGCTGGTTGTCAGTGTGATGGGCTGGTTGTCAGTGTGATAGGCTGGTTGTCAGTGTGATGTGTCCGTTGTCAGTGTGATGTGTCCGTTGTCAGTGTGATGTGTCCGTTGTCAGTGTGATGGGCTGGTTGTAAGTGTGATGTGTCCGTTGTCAGTGAGATGGGCTGGTTGTCAGTGTGATGGGCTGGTTGTCAGTGTGATGGGCTGGTTGTCAGTGTGATGTGTCCGTTGTAAGTGTGATGGGCTGGTTGTCAGTGTGATGTGTCCGTTGTCAGTGTGATGTGTCCGTTGTCAGTGTGATGGGCTGGTTGTCAGTGTGATGGGCTGGTTGTAAGTGTGATGTGTCCGTTGTAAGTGTGATGTGTCCGTTGTCAGTGTGATGGGCTGGTTGTCAGTGTGATGTGTCCGTTGTAAGTGTGATGGGCTGGTTGTCAGTGTGATGGGCTGGTTGTCAGTGTGATGGGCTGGTTGTCAGTGTGATGGGCTGGTTGTCAGTGTGATGTGTCCGTTGTAAGTGTGATGGGCTGGTTGTAAGTGTGATGGGCTGGTTGTCAGTGTGATGGGCTGGTTGTCAGTGTGATGGGCTGGTTGTCAGTGTGATGGGCTGGTTGTCAGTGTGATGTGTCCGTTGTAAGTGTGATGTGTCCGTTGTAAGTGTGATGGGCTGGTTGTCAGTGTGATGGGCTGGTTGTCAGTGTGATGTGTCCGTTGTCAGTGTGATGGGCTGGTTGTCAGTGTTATGGGCTGGTTGTCAGTGTGATGGGCTGGTTGTCAGTGTGATGGGCTGGTTGTCAGTGTGATGGACTGGTTGTCAGTGTGATGGGCTGGTTGTCAGTGTGATGGGCTGGTTGTCAGTGTGATGGGCTGGTTGTCAGTGTGATGTGTCCGTTGTCAGTGTGATGGGCTGGTTGTCAGTGTGATGGGCTGGTTGTCAGTGTGATGGGCTGGTTGTCAGTGTGATGGGCTGGTTGTCAGTGTGATGTGTCCGTTGTAAGTGTGATGGGCTGGTTGTCAGTGTGATGGGCTGGTTGTCAGTGTGATGTGTCCGTTGTCAGTGTGATGTGTCCGTTGTAAGTGTGATGTGTCCGTTGTCAGTGTGATGTGTCCGTTGTAAGTGTGATGGGCTGGTTGTCAGTGTGATGGGCTGGTTGTCAGTGTGATGGGCTGGTTGTAAGTGTGATGTGTCCGTTGTCAGTGAGATGGGCTGGTTGTCAGTGTGATGGACTGGTTGTCAGTGTGATGGGCTGGTTGTCAGTGTGATGGGCTGGTTGTCAGTGTGATGGGCTGGTTGTCAGTGTGATGGGCTGGTTGTCAGTGTGATGTGTCCGTTGTAAGTGTGATGGGCTGGTTGTCAGTGTGATGGGCTGGTTGTCAGTGTGATGGGCTGGTTGTCAGTGTGATGGGCTGGTTGTCAGTGTGATGTGTCCGTTGTAAGTGTGATGGGCTGGTTGTCAGTGTGATGGGCTGGTTGTCAGTGTGATGTGTCCGTTGTCAGTGTGATGTGTCCGTTGTCAGTGTGATGGGCTGGTTGTCAGTGTGATGGGCTGGTTGTCAGTGTGATGGGCTGGTTGTCAGTGTGATGGGCTGGTTGTCAGTGTGATGGGCTGGTTGTCAATGTGATGGGCTGGTTGTCAGTGTGATGTGTCCGTTGTAAGTGTGATGGGCTGGTTGTCAGTGTGATGGGCTGGTTGTCAGTGTGATGGGCTGGTTGTCAGTGTGATGGGCTGGTTGTCAGTGTGATGGGCTGGTTGTCAGTGTGATGGGCTGGTCGGCGGTCGACGCACTCACGTTGGTGGTCAGCTGGTTGGTCAGCGTTTGCACCTTCTCCTGGGACTCGAGCAGCTCTCTCTTCAGCCGGCGGTGGTCACTGGCCTGCTTCTCCTCCTGCGCTGAGTAGATGGAAGACGTGGTAGAGACTAGGCTCAGCGACGAGCCGTGTGCTGCCGACGGCCGGGCACGTCAGTACAATTACCATTTTTCGAATGCCGTAAGTGTGAGGGTTAGTGGAAACAAACCCAACTGCCACCCCGTTTACATTCATAGTAAGCGAAACTTCCGTTTAGAACGGATATTTCCGTTTAGCGATAGGACTGCGCAACTTTCGACTCATGTATCCTGGTTTGGGCGCGCAAAAACGACTATTACGCGGAACGGATATTCTCTCAACTTATCTCAACTTTAAAATCCTGTTGATGACAAACTTCCTTTGGATAATTCATTTTCTTTAATTAATGTTCTCTTTTCTGCTCTTTTCAAACAATGAGGATCGCTAGCAATGTAATCGATGATGATGATGATGATGATGATGTAGTGTTTTAGGGCGCACCAGCAACGAGGCTATATGGCGCCCATAGCAATGTAATCAAAAGCATCCCTAAATATAATTGGGTTTCGGCTTTATTTGCACGCAGTATTTTCAACATTTTATCACATCTGAAAACATTTTATTACGGCTATATTTTCTTTTACCTCCACAAAGACCTATGCAACCAAGTAGTCAGCGTGGAGGGTGCTGGCGGGGCACCGTGACGGACGCGGCAGGGAGCACAGGTTCTGAGCGGCACCGGCGGCGGAACGACCCTGACCGCCTACTTGCGTATGAGTGTATGTGCGGTCTTGTGTGTGTGCGCGCGTGCGTGTAAATCGTGTATGGTGAGATCACGTGCTATTTGTTCAAGTCAAAAATGTGTTATATGTAAACTATGAGACCAAATACATATATAACATCTCAAAAAAAAAAATATGTCACAACTGCGCCAGGTTCAGTTGCAACTCAATGGCTACAAAAAAATGAACAACTTCGTTTTTTCTTCTTTCTTCAAGTACCTCATTTTTCATTGTAAGTGGCCTGAAATGTTTCTTGAATAAATGTTAACATGCCAAAATATAAACACCTTTTTGACTGAAAGCATGCTAATTGCCAAAGCAAAAAAGAAAAACTGTTTATTTCATTATATTGCCTAGGTCCCTAAATGCAATTGGCCGCCGCTAATGTGATTAGAGGTGACACGTGACCGGTGTAAATGTTCTCGTAAAACTGTGGACATTTATATTACCTTTAATCGCGTGCTTTCATTTTATATACCAGTGTGCTTTGTAAGTAAATATTTATTAAGTTTTGTCGTGTCAAACATTTATTTTAGGAGAAAAATTGACTGTGTCAGAACCGTCTAACTATCACAACTCATCCATGCCTGAACCATCAAACATTCTTTTTAACCAAAGTCATTCAATTCAAGTACGGTCAAGACAGTGTTTAGTGTGTTATAATGATAAAAAATGGTGACCAATTGACCATGATTGGTTATACCATTAATATAAACAAAATCCATGATACCTACAGCTGATCCCAAGTTGCGATAATTAGACAAAACTGACGCAGTCAATTTTTCTTCATAAACAAATGTTTGACACAACATAACTTGATAATTACTTACGAGGCACACTGATAGATAGCAGACATTACGGTGATGATATCGCGATGAAAGCTAATTTAACCCTATTCCTGGCGGGCTCCGCCGGGACAAGAAACTGGCGGGGGGGGGGGGGGCCGATTCGGCCCCCCCTTCAGATCTCAAAAACTACACATCGCAGCGACAAACGGTAAACGGCATCGGATACGCACGGTCAAGATCTACAATTTTTACAAAGGTCATTTTCAGGTCAGGTCAAAGATGACGTCATAGGGGTCGAAAAAGTCAAAATGGCGGCGCTAGATATGGAGAGAGTTTTTCTCGAATAACTTTCGAATTAGTCGAGATAGGAACAAACTAAGGGCATCATCGTGATCCTCTCGTCAATCCGCATCGAATGATATATATGTTGACCTCGAAAGGTCAAGGTCAAAGGTTGACCTCAGGTCACGTGACCTCGAGGTCATCATGTATATCATTCGATGCGTCTTGACGAGCTGAACACAATGAGACCATCCACGCGTCTGTATCTTGTTCCTGTACGGAGTTATTGGCCAAAAACCTTTGGTGACCTTTGATGACGTCACATGACCTCACAGCTGCCCAACAGCAAAACAGACCTCAAGGTAGTGAAGGTTGATCGTATATGAAGTCATGTATGGTATATGGGGCCATTCCGACCCGTTTTAGTGGTAAAAACAGGGAGTTGATTTTTCCCCCATTGACTTATAATGGGGAGGTCGCGAAACTGACCTGACCTTAGGTCACCGATATCAAAATTCCGAGATATACAAATTGCACATACTGGTACCCTAACTAAAGCCTGAAGAGAAGAAATTGATCGGTCAAAAACTCTAGCTCTGGCGTGATTGCAAACTTTTCTGAGGTAGGGTCACCAAACCGCCTCTGGTGACCTGACCTGAGGTCAGATCAACTCAAAATTTTCAGACATGTTGCGTAGAAGCCTTTTAGGAAAAGTCAGAAAATTTGAGCTTCCTAGCTCAACGCGTTTGGGAGAAATAACCAAAAAACCTCAGGGGGGGCTCCTGAGGCCCCCCCCCCGCCAGGAATAGGGTTAAATGTCCATAATTTTATGAAAACATCGACACAAGTCACGTGTCGCACCGGGCCGGTGCTCCGTGACTTCCGCGCCGGGCCGGGGAGGATGTCTGAACACACACCCCCCCCCCTTCTAACTCGGTTCCTGGGCCACGTAGCGACACGCAGTAAGCGGCAATCGAAAGAACTTCCAAAATACGGACGAAAACACTTGGGTCATTTTTTGGTCAGGTCTAAGGTCAGGTCACCAGAGGTCATCAAAAGGTAAAATGTTGGCTATTTTAACATTTTGGAAACTGCCAACGGCTAACTCGGGAACAGATAGAGCTACAGCGCCGCAGAAAAGCGCATTCGATAGCTCTTTTAACGCTCTTTCGCCACCATGTCCTCAGATTTGACCTCAGGTCAACTGTTTAGCCTCCAGAGGGACCCCCCCCCAAATAGCCGTTTTTACGAAACGTGTTTTTCGGCAGTAACTTTTGACTCAAAAGAGCCACAACATTACTTTTGCCAGCATCGTGGTCCTCTCGTTAAGAAGCTTCTAATGAACTATAATTTGAGCTTGATAGGTCAACTTGAAAATCTGACCTCAGGTCAAGGTCATGACCTGACCGAAAAAGGTCATGTTGCAGTCGATCAATCGATTCGCATCATCGAGCCGAACACATCTAAGGCGTTTTCATCGCTCTAGCATGCCTCTATCAGAAGTTATTAGCGAAAAATCTGTTAGATACTATTCGTGACCTGAGATGACCTCGGGGATGTTACGATGGGTCACAGGTGCCATTTTCCGGTTCAGTGTGTCAATGTTACCTGCATCCCGATGTTTCAGAGTGTCTAGAACGGCGTTCGTGCAAAAGAGGCGCTTTTCAATTTTCTCCAATTGACTTATAATGGAGAGGTCGCAAAATTGACCTGACCTTAGTAGGTCACCGATATAAAAATTCTGAGATATAAATACTTTTTATAGATACTGTTACTCTTATCAATCGCTGAAAGCTTCAAGGCAATCGTTCAGTCGGTGTAGCTATGACGAGCATTCTATTTTTTTTTTCTGAGGTGAGGTCACTTGGCGTAACCTGGTGACCTGACCTTGAGCGACCTGGGTCTGAAATTTTCACAACATGTGCAGAAAAGATGCACAAATAGGTATGCCAAAAACGGCGGCACTCCAAGCCGCTGTTTTTAATATATCTGCGAAAAAACCACAGGGGGTGGTTTTTTCATACACCCCCGGCCCGGCGCGGGTTGAATGTCCATAATTGTATGAAAACATAAACACCAGTCACGTGCCACCTCCATTGCAACAGCGGAGGCCATTTACATTTAGGTACAGAACGGGATAAATCATCACTTTTTTTCTCGTTGGCTTTAGCACACCTAAATCAAAATATATATGTATATATTTTGACATTAAAAAAAATCCTGAAACATTGAAGGCCGCAACAATGAAAAATGAAATATTTGAAGAGCAAAGTTGTTCAATTGCTTTCATAAAGTCATTGATAAATAATTGCACCTGGCGCAGTTGCGACATTGAAATGTTTTCAGTTGTGTTCAAGTTAGAAACTGCTGCGTGCAAATCAAGCCAAAACCCAATTATATTTTAGGAATGCCCTTGATAACACTGCTAGCGATCCTCATCTGTTGAGGAGAGCAGTAAACAGAGCACTAATTAAAGGAAAAAAATTATCAACAGGATGTTTAGGACATCAACACAGGCTTTTTAAATTGAGATAAGTTGGGAGGTTTGTGGGGTGATGAAAAAGTGATAAATGCTACCTTAAATATTAGATGTTAATGATGAAGCTAGTGCTGGGGCGTTCCACGACAGATCGACCAAAAAAATCGCAAAATAACACCCTACCTCTCATATTTTCATGAAATTTCGTCAATTGGTTTATATTGCCCAGCGATTCGTGTTGTGACATTTTCAATCTCATTCGTCGAATACTTTGGGAGATTCGACCCACGCAACTTAATGTCTAATATAAAAACTCTTAGTGTCATCCGCAGATATTTAGCTAAATACCCATTAGATTCATGTAAATCTGCATATCATCACAATTGGAATTAACCAAAGATCTTCGTGATATCAATTATTTTTGAAAATTTTGATTCTTAATTTATCATCAAATTAATTTATAGAAATCAAATCTTGAAAACGTGGCCATCTTTTTTACAATTTATTTTTGCAGGAAAAGTCTTCTCAACGCATTGTCATTGAATGATGAAAATATTAAAAAGGTGTTTTTCCTCTTAAGGTCGCTATACAACATTGGATTTCGTCGTACAGTGGAAAAATAACAATAACTGTCAACCGGTCTGAACGGAGTACGGTCAAACGTGATCGAGAGCTCATTGCAACGCTGTTAATTTTTTTTTTCTAAAGATGCTTAAGACACCTACGAAAGCCAAGTTAGGACCCAAGGATCCAACGATGTCATAATGGCGTATTGTTTTCAAGA